CCGTGCTTCTTTGCTCTCCCACTTGGACGGGTTCGTCGGCAGGTTTCTTTTTTTCGAGCCACCACCACACCCAGGGAGGATCAAAGTTTGCCGCTTACTCGGCTATAAAACCCTGCTTCCGCATAATTTTGCGTCTGGCTTTCGCGAGTGGGAGTGACGACTATGAAAGTCTTTACCAGTTGGAAAACTGTAGACCGCTCTCTTTTATTATTTTTTTTTCCATGTCGTCGCGAAAAGAGATTGTATGCTCGTAGAATTCTTTGGAATGATATTCTTTTCTGCAGAACGGATCTGAGTATGCATGAAACGTGGGGATGTTTACGTACGGGCATGTTCCGCAGTGAGTTCGTATGCCCGAGGTTTCGTTTGGTCGCGATGTCAAAGATGCAGACGAGGTAGGGTAAGTGTAGGTATTACTGGGGACTTTTGGGATAGGTTAACTTTAGAGTGCTCGATAAAGTGTTCAAATGAATGAAAGTCTCTGCTTCTTGTTTTTAAAGAAAGTTGAATGGCATTAATTCTATAAAAAAGTGAGGATGGTGTACCTAATGGACGGATATAATAGAAATCAAAGAAATTAAAGCCACATCTCATTGCAGGAATTACGGCGGATATGCATGTATTACTACTGTGTGCCAGTTACCAACGAAATACCTATTACTGGGTGTATATTACTGTGAATTCGCGTTGCAAAATATTAGTATATAGTATAAATACTTATATCCTGTAAATAGAAAAATTATTTAATTTTATTTGTAAGAAGAATGTGATATAATGTACAAGACAGAAAGTATTAATTTACTAGATATTTATAGCATTATAGCCAGATAACACATGACGCCTTGAAGATGCCCATTTCACGGCTATTTTAAGTCTAAGGCGTCTTTAAGCTGTCTTCAAGGCGTCGTGTGCTATCTGGGTATTAAGCCTTATTACATTATGAACATTTATAATAAAAAAAAGTAATAATAAACTTTTCAAAGGAAACTCAAAATTTTGTAATTCTGTTTTTTTCTTCAATAACATTAATTCTGTAGCTTTATTTTTTAAGTGAGTAAATGCGGTCGAAAATAGGTTAGCTTACGCAGTCACCTGCTCGCAGTAATAAACACACCTGGTGTAAAGTACTGCAACCTAATACTGCGGTGAAAAATAAAAATTAAAAATAAACTGTAAATGAATAATGTCCTGTCTGTGCTTACATGTATTACACGCATCTTTTTTTGTGCTTGCAAAGCACATTAATCTTTTATTCTTTTGCTATCATTATTATTACTGTTATATTTTTTCTTTCTCTGCCCTTTATAATACACAAGTATTATCGTTTTTACTCTATACAGATAGCACATGACGCCTTTAAGACGCCCTTTTTACGGCTATTTTAGGTCTAAGGCGCCTTTAAGCCGTCTTTAAGGCGTCATTAGGCGTCACATGTTATGTGGGTAATAAAAAGGTTTTACCATTCGTGATAAGTAAATATGTACCTAAATAATTTGTTTCTTCATAGTGTTTACGTATTTGGCTACTGAAAGCATCAGGTTTGCAGCAGAAATAAACAGACCGCCATTGGATTTTCGCGGAAGCTTATTTTCACGCTGCAAATACGAAAGAACGAATTTCAGACACGGTATCCGAGCGATCTAATTATCATCACCGGGAGTAGTTTAATCAGCATCCACATGTTCGTAGCTGCCTCCATCAATATTGCTTTCGGCGCGTGCACGTGACTTGTTTACGATTATCATTGCAACAAAATGTATCATGGCGCTAAGCAGATATGGGTCAGCACCGCTTCGAGGTTATATATGCTACCGTGCTACTGACGATACCATTCACACGGTTTCCTTGAATTGCCCCGTTCTTGATGAGAATTCACGTAATTATTACACCGTAGAGAAGAAAATTAATTCGTGCTTCATGCCATAAATGATTCGTTAGAATTTCCATGCTCATGACGAAGCATAGAATTGTCCGTTAATCTGTTGCTCTAATTCCCGATTGCACTTTAATTACTGAAAATTTGTAGACTTGTAAAAGTTTAAAATACGACTTCGTTCAGGCTTAGTACCTGAATGTGCATAATTGTCATCGTTATATTCTACATATTCAGTATGTTACAAGAATTTGTAAATATATGCTATTTTCAAATAAATAATTAAAAAAGCTTATTTTACCCCAAGGCTCACTTTGACCCGGTTTTCCCTATTAGATTAAAGGTATTACAAAGAATTGGAGGATTTTTCATGATTTTATAGAGGTGTGAGATATTTGAATGACCAATGCTAAATCGTGTAATGATTACTTGGTCTTTTCTGTGACTAATATTGGGGCATCCGTTATTATAAATATTTAATATTTAATATTAAGTCCATTTCTAATTCCAGCAATGTTTATTTCTTTTCTTAAGCTCTTTGATTAAATCGTTATGGGAGATCGGATTACTTTGGGGTAATGTTTCCATGGCTTCTTTAGCAGCTGTATCAGCTTTTTCGTTTCCGACAATTCGCACATGCGAGGGGATCCATACAAACATAATATCAGTATTGTTTTTTTGTATATAGCTGAAATTTGATTTATGAGTTGCTTACCCTGAACAAGGGATCTTTGTGGAATGTCCTGCATGGCCTATGTGAGAAAATGAACTCATAGGGTCAGGAGGCGTTGCATAATTCAGAAACGGGGCTCAGTCGAGATTCGTCTTTCTATATACCCACTACCGAATTTATCCCTTCAAATCTTGTTGGAGAGAGAACACGTAAGCTGAATTTTATGATTTACGGGTAGAACTCACAGGACAGTTAGAAATCCTAGAACTTTTGTAACGTACAGAACTCTTAAAACCGTTAGAATGTGTAGAACTCGTAAAACTTTTCGAATTAATCGGACTTTGGAATTTTTTTATTAACTTTTAGTATATTTTAATCAACTTTCCAAGCTCCCGAAACAATTAATTTAATTTTACTGCTGTATTAAAAAGTACGAGGGTTAGAATAGAAAAAATATACTGTAAAAATGCTGTATACAGTTTTGAAATTGGAATGATTTCGAGCAGCAGATGGCCCCGAGGTGCCAACATTTCAATATTAATATGGCATTCCAGGCTCCCACTAGTCAGAGTCAAGTATTCCCCAGACGCGCTGGAAGTGCGCTTCAAAGAGGTTCATTTCTTACGAATTCCACGACAGAATGTTGTTCTTGACTTTATGAAATATTTTGCAGAATACAACCCTTCTGTGGACGGTCCCTTTAAGGCTTCTTTCATATGTACAGTCAACGCCAAATATGACCATAACTGTTTCGTGCATCTGAAACGAGCACGAGAGGTCTCTCGAACCCTCGACTCCCCACCTTTTTGGTGCGTTCTGTAACGTGGGCGTTAAAATTTGTCATACACTACGTGACACAATGAAGTTTTCTCAAGACATGAATACTTATGAATTGGCATGTTTATACTTCACTAGTCATCCCATATAGGGTAGCGAGGTTAATCGGATCATAGGACGAATCGGATCAAAATAAGAATTCAGTCGATATTTTTTATATTCTCATGGAAACAAACATTTCGATTGTTCATATTGCATCATCCTTGTTCCCCACATTCAATTCAATAATCCATCAATTGTTTTATGTACTTGTTTAGTGCTGGCACAAGTTGCCATTGAGACGAACGCGTGCGAACGTTATATTATAATTTTAGTACGAATTTAAGATGCGTAATCTGCAATTTCGTATTTAAAATAAAAAAGTAAGCTTGAAAATTCAAATGTGTTTATTATTATTCGTTTGTATGGTATCCAAATTTGGTGTTTCATATATTTTAGAGATTATATCATAATTCGTCTACGTATCCTATTCAATTTAAAGTCCTTATGAATCGGATCACTCTTTTTCTTCGTTTGAATATTTTTATGATTATAAATGCGATAATTATTTATATAAAGATAGTTGGTAAGTACATTAAAAAGACCAATCAAGGTTCATGGTGTCCAGAAAAAATGAAAGAAGATTGGATACAGTGCAATGTCTGCGAAGAGTGATGTTACGAGAATTGTGCCGATACAGATGGTGTTAAAGGAGACTGTACTTGCGTCTTATGTGCCAAGTAGAGTCATTTGACCCCATTATCATTAAAGTATATTTTTTAAAATTAATATAAAGAAATTTTTTTATGAAAATTTTAGTTTTTTCAGAAATTTCTGGATTATCCGATTCGTCATAATTTTTGGGATGAATCGGATATTTCTCGCTTTTTCATTTTTTGTTTGCAAAAGAAAGATTTTTTAGTTTTTCTTCGTCTTTCTATTATTAATGTTTAAGTTAAATGTGTACTAATTACGAACTTATAATACCTAATTGGCTTTCTAAACATTAACTATTCTTTTTTTACTATCAAACAGAAAATTATCCGATTCGCCTCGATCTACCCTATGATGCTACACGAGGCATAGTGATGCTCAATTGTTTAAGACGTTGGTAACCAAGGTAACCGAGAGGAAATTGCGCAAACAAAACTGAAATCGTCATTTCGCAGTTATGGTCTTATTTGGCGTCGAGTACATGTGCGGTCAAGAAACGGCAATATTTGCGTTATAAAGTAACGTGACGTAAATTAATAAAACAACCAACGAAATTAAACCAAGGACGTCTACCGAAACGTAAAATAACGGTATTATACCGGTATTTTCGGTTGTACCTTAGCCCTATATAACCTTATATAAGCCCTACCCTTATAGAAATCGAAAACATTCCTGTATTTACTTCAGTGTTCGGTATATATCGGTTTCGGTATAGCTTTGATGGCATAATACCGGTATCAAAATCATACCGGTTTAAGTACCTGAATTAAACACGATAACATGGATAAAACATTGTATTATTGCTCGCTGAAATTTTAGATACAAATTTTGCAATAAAACGTTTTTGCAATCACCGAAGAAAATGTTATAAATTCGCTCTATCCTGTCCAAAGACTCTGATTTAGAAAATAAGTGTGAACTTACCCGTATCCGTGCTTCCTGGCAAGAGAATGGCGTCATCGCGGAACCAGGAAGTGACTGTTAAGTGTTCTTTGACATCTTCCTGGGCGGTGCAAGACAAAACCGCGTTGCACCCCTCCTCCACCGATGATCTATTCACCGTTACGTCGTATCCGGGCACCGTCAGCACTGAAATCAACAAAGAAAATCCCGAACTGGTAAATTGTAATCGTTGAAAATATTTTAGGGACGGACAGGTCCAATATTAGAACAACTCATGTACTCAAATAGCATCCAAAGGACGTCCGTTTCATGTCCAGTTTATATTCGAATGTCTTACATCCATTTAGGACATCCTTAGGATGTTCATAAGACTTATGTAAGATGTTCTAGAAATGTCCGTCCCGACAGTTCTATGAATGTTCTCAAGACTGAAATTTCGGATGTTCCAGAAACGTTAAAGGAATATTCTATTATGAACTTTTTACCGCACCATTATACGATTAATACCGACAAAATACTGTTCACAACTGAATCTCTTAAAAACAACAATAGAAGAGAAACGACTGTCATTTATATCTAGAAAAGGAGCTACCTTCCATCACGACAACGCACGATCTCACACACATTTTCAATGACACTAGGAACAATACAGACTATTCTCGATTATCGTCTGGCTTGTTCTACACGATTATTGTCCAGGCGTTATCCTCACGTCAAGCACATACAGTGGATAAAAAAAGTATTCGTACACCCTTTAAAAGAGACCAAATCTTTCAAAATTGGACCAAGCGACTTGAGTTTCTTTGTGAACTTAGAAGGATTAGTGTAGTAAATGATGTGTTAACAAAATGTTGAGAAAGTTGCAATTGGTCGGAATCGCGAAGAAAATGGTAACGGTTGCTTTTTGCGACTTTTTTTATATGACATTGTAATGAAAATTTAACAAATACATTGCTTAGATTTATGTCAGTTGTATGCATGCTGAAAATTTCATCGAAATTGGTTAACGTTGTTATGAGATACAAACGGTTAAAAATGTTGAAAATCGCAGTTTTTCGCAACTTCTGACCTGAAACTGTAGTATATCTAAAGATTCTTAAATCTTACATTATTTATTAAATTTTCATTACAGTCTCAGACAAAACAGTTGTAAAAAACGACATTTACTATTTCCTTCGACATTCTGAAAAGTTGCAAATTTTTCAAAAATTGTTTAACACATCATTTAGTAAACTAATCCTTCTAACTTCACAAAGAAACTCAAGTCACTTGGTCTAATTTTGAAAGAGTTGTTCTGTTTTAAAGGGTGCACGAATACTTTTTTGGCCCACTCTAAATAATAAAATTCCACGGAAAATGAATGGGTCACAGAAGAAGAGACATGGACGCGTCAAAAACTGATTAATCTCTGGACACTGATAAATCAGTGGGAGGAACAACATCCTCGGGCGCAGATCAGGCGGCCAGTATTTGTTTAACGATAAAATGGAATCCCGAGGACAGCGAACGGGTACGACGGTTGGTCGGATTCAGCTCTGCCTCGCGGTATTTACATAAAGCTCCCCCTTCGTGGCGGAGATTTTTCATGGACTTCGACGTTGTTTACCAACACTCTCGAGCGCCGGTAAAGGCCCGACGCAGAAGTTATAAATCACGCGGCTCGACGTGACATCCGGTCCCGATTCGACGCGGGAAATTCTCACGGTAAAAATCGACGAAACGCCTCGAACGGAAGATGCCACGGCGCGCCTGCCATTACGCCCTTCCCTTCCAACTCCTTCCCATCCCTCCACCTCACCCCCTGATTCCGGGGTAAATCGAGGATGTAATGGCCCGAAGTTTCTGCTTTGCCTCGGAACCCATCGAAGAATTGGAATCGCGTTCACGGAAGTCTGCGTTCCCCTCGTTTCGTTGGATGTCCCTCGCAGACGGGTTTAAAGTAGCATTAGAAAACTTCCCTGTTCGACGATTTCAAAGTTATACTGCGTTATGTAAACATTTTTGGACAATACAGGGTGTCCCATAATAGCTTCGATTCCCGGAAATGAGGGGTTCCTGGGATGATTTGAAACAATTTTTTCCTTAGCGAAAATGTTATCCGAGGCTTTGTTAACGAGATATTAACGAAAAACCTTGGCCCATCAGAGCGCGAGTCTGCCAGTCGAGTCTCCGCGGTAACGTTGGCTACCAATCGCAGCGCGCAACCGCGGGAACTCGATCGGCAGACTCGCGCTCTGATTGGTTCGGGTTTTTTGTTAATATCTCCTTAACAAAGCCTCAGATAACATTTTTGTCAAGGAAAAACTTGTTTGAAATCACCTCACAAGTCTTCCATTTCTGGGAGTCGAAGGTATTTTGGGACACTCTGTATATTTCTGGCTGTAAAGAAAACCGCCGCATGTCACAGTTTTGTAAGATTCGAGTCTGATCATTAATTGAGCTGTAGAATATTGGATTAATGTATTTGTTAAAAATGGAATGCATGAAAACAAATTTCATGTGGTAAGAATAATGCAATTTAACCGAAGTCCAATATTTATACGCATTAGGCAAATGATAGTGAATCCAAAAAATTTGGAGAATTAGACGATTACTCGTATCTTTCTTTTGTGATCCCTATTTGTTTCCTAGTTTTATTAACACTAGAATCACCAAACCCCCTAAAATGACGGAATTTTCATCTGTTATTTTACAATTACTGAAACTATTAAGGTGCTTGCGTGGGAATTTATGTTGACATTCAATTTATTATATATTTTACATTACATTATGTTATGCTATACTGTATTATGACAAAAATTCATATGTGACTATATAAAATACATTGAGAAATAGAAAATTATTGACGAATTTTGAATAGTTTACAATATATATATATTTATTTTTTTTATAGGGAGCAAATAAAGTACAGAATTTCCAGAAATCGGGAAAATATGAAACAATAGCCATTCTGTCTTAGGTTATTATATCATCAAGCACATTTTACTCTAAATGTAGTTACAAACAATAGACTTATTAATTCTGTTAGGCGACATATTCGTTAAAGGTGTAATATTAGGTTGGTAGAAAATTAATGGTTGGTCAGCATTCACACCTGTGTACTTTACGTAGGGGAGAGTTGCCTATTTTGGACCACTTTTTTATTTTTCTCTCTTACACACGCATAGAACATCGCAGGATGCAAAGAGAAACGGAAAAAGACAATCATTATACGTAGCAATTGTATGGTGTATTGGTCGTTTTGAAGAAATGTGTGGTAAGAGTAATATCTTTAAAAAACTAAACTAATGACTTCGGTCCATTCCAGGCAACTGGTTTCCTAATTTGGACCACCGGTTTCCTACACTGGACGGCTCCTAAAAACTAATAAAATTAAAACTACAATTTAAAAAACACTGTTCAGGACATTGAAAAAAGTAGAAACAGTAAGAAAAAAGTATCGTACCGTGCACGTGGTGCATTAGTACGTTCTTTAGTGGGTTTCACATTTTCCATATTTCCGTGTTGTCGCCATTTTGAATCTGAATGAAAAAGAAATTTAACAGGAAAAAACTTTGTTAGTATAACTTGAACTATTATTGAACTATTTTTATATAGGATATAGATTGTATCTTAGAATACACCAGTCCAATTTAGGCAACTAGCGATGGTCCAATATTAGGCAACTTGTAGGTTGTACCAGAAAAATATATTTTCATTGTTATATTTAAGTGCAAATGGGAAAGTATGAATGTGAAATTGTAGCTAAGATAGTATACTTTATACTAGTATCATTTAAAATTATGGTACTTACAAGGTGTAAAATGAAATTCACTTGAAATAGCACGAAAAATAATGATCACGCACCACGTATTTCTATATCTCGACGACGTGAAACGACAAACAAATTAATTACCTGTTTCACTGTTCTCGCACATTTTATTTCCGCTCCTAAAATCAATGTAACTAACGAAAAATCTGTAAATATATTTCTTTATAGAGATACACAAATGGTCCAATCTAGTTGCTGTAATTCATTTTAATCTTCTAAAGTCATTTTAATTGCATAGTTTCAATTACACATAATAGCAAAGCTAATGTGTATTTCGTTATAATTCCAAAAGTGTATGCAATGTTTACACTATGTATCACAATGTTACACTATTATGTACACACTTATTTTATCTTTCTCTTAAGGATACCACAGAAGTGTATTCGAGGAGACAATTTCTCAGAGTTCCATTTATTAGGCGATCAGATTTACTAAAATATCAAAGACATTAAATTATTAAGGGGAATACGTTTTAATATACTAATGTTCTTTTTGACAGCGGTCTCTAGATTTACTCATTTTTAGGAGGGAAAGAAAGGAGGACGTTCGTCGGGGTGAATTCTCCAGCGGAGATAAGATTAGCGCCGCGTCCGGAAATTCATTTTCAACTCGAGCAGTTCCGTCGCCGCTCCATTTATTTTCAGATCCGACAGGTAGATACGATATTGCTCTTAATAGTACTATCAGGTCGGTCGTCACGCTGTTACGCTGTCTCATTTCGGCGGCGTAATTTAAATATCGGACATAACGCGTTTACGACGTGTCTTTTCTGTCACCGATATCCAGAGATTCATAAAAGCTGTATATATTTCTTTCTAACAATAAATTCCACCATTAACCATTAGTGTTTATTAACAGTATTCACATGTTATACATAATTACTATTTTTATTTAATATACACATAGTAGTATCGATACCAATATAAAGGTATTTAGTTTTCATTCGCTTTGATCATTTTTTTTCGATTGTCATGGTATACAGGGTATCCCACTTAACTCTGCGACCCTTAATTATTTTCTTATTTGTCACGGTACAAAAAAATGATGCGGGAGGAAGTTAGTGTATTTTAGGAGGGCAATTCGGCTATGAGATTGAAGGTTATCTCAAGGTCATATCTTCTTTTTTTAAATGGAATGCACTATTTTTTTGTTCTCCATTACAAAGAGGAGATCAAAACGTTTCCAACAATGTATTACACTATGACCTTGAAATGACCTTGAGCTGAAAATTTCGCACGTAACTGGTTGAGGTGAAAGCTCACAGAAAATGAATTGTAGAAGCAAAATAAACGTCATAATCGAATTATTTATTATTTTAGTGTATGTTCAAAGTCTTGTCACCCCATAGTGATAGATTCTAAACTGAGAGAAATAA